CCCCCTAGCGGCAGAAGCTCGTACTACATCCGGTTCGCCCTCTATTGACACAGTCTTGAAACTTCCGATCGCACCTCGTAAGCTAATTCCTTTCCTGAGGGGCTTATTTAAGGGAACTAATTTTATAACTTGTCCAAACTGCAGCAAAGTTAAAATATATTTGCGAATAATAGCAACAAATCAAAATTACATTAAAAAATAAATTAAAATTTGATCAAATATGGGGAATGCTAGCTACCTTGGAGTTCAGAAGTCTTACCATATTTAAAGATTAAAATATACAAAATTTAATTTGATATGGGTGTGAAACTTGGTAACTTACATGCATAATAGCCATTTTTAACTCTAGGAATCAAGCACACTGGTACATACTTACGGTACAATTGACCCTGAAGGATAGATGAGGTCCCCAATAATTAGAGTATCCACCAAATCCAGTGATACTTTCCGGAATTCCAACTGTTTCAGAGCGATGAAATCATACTTTACAGTGATAAGTACTTTCGTCGTCAGAAGAATGAGCCGTTCCTTCTCGTGATCCCAAAAGCTGATTCTGTATAAAAATTGAATTCAAAACAATATTAAAATTGCTGTGCTGTCTGTAAGTGATAAAATATATGACGGCCACATTCGGCCAGTAATTGTTAACAACTGGAATTTTAACTTCTGGACTGTGGTGTTTCTTAACATGATACTTCCTGGATTCACAGGATCTGTAAGTGTTGAAACTTACTCGGTAAGCAGCCATGAACCAAGAATTTCGCCATCCTCATCTGGTGTGACAAGACCAGAGATGCATTCCTTTATAGCATTCTGTACCAAACTATCCCTGTAGGCAAAGAAATACTTTGCCTCATCTTCTTCCAATATTGGTTTCTGGCAAATAGCATTACTTTGCAATGGGGTATCACTTTTTGATCTTGTCCTCTTAAATTTTTCAGAGACTGTAAGAATAAAGATGATTTGTTATTAGCATTGTTCACCACGAATGATATAAAATAACATTACACTCTGTAAGAATGAATTGTGTAATCCGTTCAAAATGACTCATGGTTAACAAAGGCACATTTCACACTAGAATCATCCACCAGTCTGACACTATACTCCTGTGACATGACATTGCTTTCAAGAAACAATCCAGCCTTGGAAGGAGAAGTGTCAGATGACTCACACAAAGAAAAACATGTCACCAATAAAGAAATATTAAGAGCTGAAGAAGACCAGGCAATGATCTAAACAACAGATACACGCAACTAAGAACTTAAGCACACAATATTTTCTATATCCTTTGGTAACACTTTTTTTTACTACAATAATGTAATAAATATCACTTCAGGAGAAAAGCAGACAGTCAAAAATTGCCCTGTGTTTACCTAAAAGTCTCCACATTCTGTCACAAAACCAGATTCATAGACATTAAATCTGACATATAGTAAATTTTGTTAATAAGTCCTATATTAAAAATTTGCTGGGAGGAAGGTATATAATCTTGTCACATGTAAAATATTTTAAAGTAAACAGTATTTTTATTTGTATATTGTTTTACTTTTTATAATTTCTTATAATGAACATTTCTACATTGATTCTGAATTTGTCAAAGAAATACACATGAACACCATCCTTACTTCTTTTCGGTATTGAAATAATGGGTGCAACGACACCCACACCACTTGACACTCCCGGTTTTAAACCGTTCTCGTCTATGCTGCCACCTCTTTTCCCTGCTTCTCTTTCAACTAGCAACAGTCTGGATGCATCTGGTGACACTGAAAGTTTTGCAACAGATACTTCGTTCTCCAAGCTACTAGGGCTACGACTACACAAATAAGAATCTTGATGTATTTGTAACGTGGCTCCTTGGAAATCTGCTCCTGGTCCTTCTTCTAATAAATTTTCATTACTGAGATCCATTATAACAACCTCCACTCAAAAACCGCTAAAGACCTTTCTTCTTCCCTCTATCACTCCTATTAAGTTCTTCTTCTAATTCTTGTTTCCGCCCCCATTCAACGTTGCACTTCTCTGTACCATGTATAACATTGTATTTATCTGTGGTGTACACTGCCACATAGATCAGCAACACGCACGAACAATTCCATTCTTTTAGATACAGGGTTACCAACTGAAGGGAAGTTTATGGGTTCCTTAGCACTGAAATTTTATTACCCACATTTATTTAACGCATTATTAGAAGAATTATCTAATCTTCCAGTGCCAACGTAACATATCATGAGAAATTATGCAACTTTAAATTGTCACCGAATGTTAATTAATTATCTTCCGTCTTTTATTGACGTAAATACGTCTATATTTTAGGGTCAGTGTCATTCGACAAAAATGTAACGAAAAAGGGAAACGAAAATTTGTAACTTCATTGTTATGTTACCTTGGAAACGTCATCTGTTTATCAACAAATAAACAACAATGGTTACCTACATAGTTACCTTACCTTACATTACCTTACCTAACATTACATTACCTTGGTGTATATACGTGCACAGATACGTCATAAGACTACATTACATTACATTACATTACCTTACCTTACCCTACCTTACCTTACTTTACATTACATTCATCTATCACAGACCCATCTGAAGCCTTACTAATTCAAGTTAAATAAGCAATGTCTTAATCAAACTTTACTCAATTGTAAAGCATGTATAAAGGAAATATTTAGATTGAAGCCAATATATAAACTTCCTTTCCGTATAGACGTATTTACGTCAAATTCTCCGGAACCGTGGTTCCACTGACAACTTTTTGGAAAAAGCAAAAAGAATTAACATTATGGCTGGAAAGAGTTGATTTTCTCCTCTAAAAACAATGATGATTAATGAAGCAACTTTCTCTCGTGTGCTGTGTACAGGATATAGGAGGTCCTGGGTTCGGTTTTCGACCAAGATTGACAATCCTGCCTGGTTTGGTCTTCCATAACCGCATGAAATAAATGTTTGGGACAGTACCTTGAAATATGACGATGTATCACTGTTCCTTCTGGTGAATGCTGACCACCGTTTCAGAGGCAGTGCCTCCATCACCAGGGGGTGTGAACTGTATGCTGTAGAATGGGTTCCACTATTTTTATTTTTGGATCACGTAACTGGGCACCATATGTATATATTAAAAGAAAAATGCAACATGAAATACTGTAATGATCATATTATGAATAACTTTGCACCTTGTGTTCTTATATGAATATATTTTTAAAACAACATATTAGATTGACCTGATAAAAAACACCCCAAAAGAAAGTAATTTTCTCAGAAAATGTCATTATTTATAACAACCCAACCACACATGGCTAAAATATATAGAACTTCTGTATATATCACACATTCACTTCACAGAGCAAAAATCACTATGTACTTTGAGATCATCAAAGGAATAAACAAACTTAAAATGTATTATGAAATTCTTATGGGTGCCCAAACGCATGTCCAAATGCACAAGCTGTCATAAACTTTGTAATTCCCTGGTACAGAAGGTCCACAATACTGCCACTGGAATAAGAAAAATAGGTTTTAGTCCACGCTGAAATTGAGTTGAATAAGAAAACAAGTGTAGACCTTTTATTTCCTGCATTTAAAATTTGCATGTGCATCTGCAAGCTGCTAATATAAGAAACACAGAGCAGAGATATGTGGGCATGTATAAGTAGAAGTTCACAACTATAAGAAAGTATTTATTCTATGATATTTTAACGTACATAGATTAACAATGCATACTGCACAATCACACACACATTTCATAACTTACAAAAGTAGGAAAACCAAGTTACTGTTTATTTATGCGTAGGAATACAAATTAAAAATAAAGATGTGCAAGTAATCGCAAATATTCACAACATTACAAATAGAAGATAATACAGAAGTACAGTTGTGAATTAAGACAAATTGTATTGGGTAAATTAAAAACAGCACTTGGAAAACATTGTTAAACATTCTTATTTATAGTTCCTTTATTTCTAAAAGTAAGTAACATCACAACTTAACAAGTTTCTTCAAAATGGAAGGATACATTATTCACACTATCACTAATATCTTCTTTGCTTTATCCTGCAACACTGCAGTTTGCTTCTTTAATGTCTTTATTAAAGCAGTGGTTTTATGTCCTCTTAGTTGTATTTACAATATATTTTGTTAAAAATTAAGAGAAAAATATCTGTATTATGGCATTTCAAAAAGGCACTTAAATATTGGTTAAAAATCACATCTAATATTATCTCATGTCTAATTTTAAGTGACATTTGTTACCACATGGCAACTTCATGCTGATTTTCTGCCGCCATCCTCCTAGAAATCGTAACAGATGAAATAAGATTAGAATTCTGTTTCTGACAGGTAATATGAATAAAGATGTTTAGAGTTTTAAAGCAGAACTCGCCATTAGGCATTAATTAATCCTGTAATACTGAAACACTGTTAATAAACATTACAAGTGTACAATGCCATTTCACTAGTTCTGCCTCAATTAGTGAACCCTTTGTTCAGTGTACCCTTTTATGATCTGAAGCCCTATTTAAACCCTTGAAAAATAAGTGTCTCATATGAGATAGTGGCGGTCGTCTGGTGGCAGATGCGGTCACCACTGGATTGGGCCTGACTCCTGTCAATAGATTCAGATCTATTTTACCCAAAAGAAAGTCTTCGTTCAGAACTTTCTAGTATCGGGATTAATCTGTAACCTAAATACGGGGATATATGATGAACTTCATCATCATCTATTACTCTACAACCCAGTGTGGATCTCGGCCACATCTTTTCGGAGGTTACTTAATCTATTTAGACATTTGGTAGGACTCCTTGGACGAGTGATGAAATTATCGTCGACAGATTATAGAATATCCACTGTCATAAGTTTAAGTAACACACTTGCAGTTAACTTGCTTTGTTTATGTAGCTGATCTCAGAAATGCAGCCCCTGGTTTAGTGAATTTTCAAGTTTTTTAACCATATTAGAACACATTACACCACACAGGATAAAGTTCAGACTACGGACTTAACCGTCAGTGTAGCGCCAAATTTTTTATGACTTGCAGTTTTCACGGTGACCGAACTTGTTAAAATCCTCTTGGGCACGTTCTGGACCGAAACCCAATGTTTCAGAGACCTTCTGTGCCTCCATTAACATCCCCTAATGATGGACGTAGAGACAGTCTCTGACAATTCCGCTTCTGGCCAGAACTAAAATGCCTCGTTGCCTGAGAGGATTTAAACAAATTATTTTCTTTGATTGTCTAATATTAGACCCAAACAACAAAAATTATTCTACAATAAATGGTTACTCCCAGATCCATTGGACTTATTTTATTTATTTATGATTTATTTAATGTTGTTGGTAGTTGAGGACAATTAATTAATAATGAACTGGAAAGGGCATGGAAGGAAGAGGTTGTGGCCTAATATTAAGGTACTGCCCTAGAATTTTATATGAAAGACCTATGAGAATAGGTAGTGTGTGGGCCAAAATTTGAACCAGGGATTTCCTGAATATGAGGGAGTGGTAACCATTGGGTCGTGATGCCATACAGAGGTACTCTGGAGGGCGAAATGGTCCATTACTAGTGACAGCAGGTGTTCACTATAGAACTTGCAATGGAATAATTGAAAAAGTAATGGAATAAAAGGTTATTCTTTGTTCAAGTTAAATCTAAAATAAATTACTCAGGGGTTCAGTTCATTTCTTAATCTTTGGTGTTACAGTTCACCAATTTTAAATCTTCTGAAACTGTATCCTAAATGTGTTACTGACTATGGTATGAGATGCTTTCACTAGGCTGTGGTGCCTATCACTGGTATAAACCTTTGATTCTTCCAGATAACAAAAATCTCTCAGTCTATTCCAGCATCATAAGATATTCGTATGTCATTATTAATTAGGGTATAGGGTTTTATTTCAAACCTCGATGTCAAATTTTCTATTGTCACTCTTCTGTTGCAAATCTTCATGCTGAGCAATAATTTAAGAGCACTATAAAATATTATTATTCTTGACTGCGTGTGTTCTGAATCCCATCTCACGTTTTGGCACAGAAAAAAAAAGATTTGAGGTTTCTACATAGACCTTTCCAATGACCCTAGTCAGACCTTGATACAGACCTAGACGCAGAGACAGCTGGGTCACTGTGAACTGGTGGCAGGGTTTCCTTGTGCAAGAATGACAACCCTAGACTGGATGCCCCACTTGACCCTGTACAGGTACTTGACTGAGAATCCTGTGATGTAGTCCTGTGGAAATCTCTGATACCAACTCTACCAGGAGCCCTGTTCAATCCTCTACCCATCCCGACCGGTACCCTACCACCCGTGCCACCACCAGCTGCCATGGTGCGAGAGAATGGGTACCTCCATGGAGATTTTGGAGGATCCATCTCAAAACCTTCATTAATCACACCTTGACGATCCTCAATACGTTCACGTTTGGACAGGCGTCTGTGAGAAGAACAGAAAAGGCAAGTGTTAGTGGCTAGAATTCTGCGGGTTAAAATTTCGTGTCTCTGAAGGAAAGATACTGTCATGTGATTGACCACTGGTGTATGGTGTTCAAGCATATGTGGGTATTCTGTCATGCATGGACAATCTCTTCACTGGAAATACAGTGTTGACAAAATTCCTTCGGGGTTTTGAAAAATTGTGGCGCACAAACAAATTGAGCTAGCCACATGCGGTTTGCGGCAGATTACAGTGAAACTCTGAAAGATGGTGCTCCACCTCATTAGGGTCTGCAGGTACGCGCGTACCTACATTTCCAGGAAGATAGATTGGCAGAGACGGTCCAGTGCCTTGGCCTCCACGTTCACCAGACATAACACCACTGGATTTTTTCCTGTGTGGTCATGTCAAGAGCAATGTGTTCCAAACACCAGTTAATGGACTTGATGACCTGATGACCCGTATCAGGAATGCGATCTCGGCTATTCCAGCGGACATGCTCCACAGAACATGGTAAGAGCTCGAATATCGTCTGGACGTTCTCCATGCTACCAAGGGAGCCCACATCGAGGTCTACTGAGGTCAGTAAAAAAACTTCCAGAGTTTCACAGTAATCTGCCACAAACTGCATGTGGCTAGCTAAATTTGTTTGCGCGCCAAAATTTTTCAAAACCCCGAAGGGACATTATGAACACAATGTACTACAGTTACCATAGCAGGAATTAAATAAGACAGTTCCAGAAGCACTTCCTTCTCTTAACATTTATAGTACAAAAGAAGGAGATTAAACTACAATAAAAAACCATGCACTGTATTAAGTTTTCTTTTTTATGTGTAGATTAGTTCTGTTGTTATTTCAGCTTAGTGTTAATTAATCATTTGTACACAATCACAATGAAGTTGCACTAAACACGGTTAGTAACCCCGGAAATTAGTTAACGAAGGGAAGCAGAGGAAATGGGCAATCCTTGGACATTTCACCTATTAAAATATAACCTAATGTACATCATATTTAGTCTTGCACATTGTGAACATCTCTCTCTCAGGCCATTGTTTGTGTAAACTTCCACATGTCCTCAATTCATCTCTACTTTTGCTTGAAATATAATTATTATTAATAATTCATTATCTAAAGACAGATATGAAAGTCCTGCATACACAGAGCGTTACAGAGAGACGATTTGAAAATATAAAAAGGAGGACAGAAGGAGAATCAACTACAAGAACAATATTAAAATAAAAACATTACAATAGCACCTAATAAGGAAAAATATTACAAAAATACGTATTATCATCATTTTAAATTCTACATAGTTCCCCATATTTTTGTTTCAACTGTAATTAGCTGACAAATTTGCATTAGAAAATAATTAGTATTTTTATTATTACCTGGGGTGCAGCCATTTGAACAAACCACTCTCACATGTCACAAAAGAACACAGATATTAGACATGCTATTTCATTTCTGCAAGTAATAATATGAGCTACACGCATCCGTCTATGTTTGCAAATGTGCTGTTTGTGACTGAGCCCCAACAATTTATTTCCACAAATTTCTTTGGCAATTTTCCTGTCGTACACATTTGCAAGCTGAGCTCTGCTTCTCAGTGTCTAATCCAGCCGACTGTATCTTGGTTCATCTCAGTCAACACCTTCACGTTGTACCAACGACATCTTATGTAGTTATTTTTTTCTGTACATCTCTCACACTGACAACTCTCAAAAGGAAGACAAATAATGACGGCAATAAAAGCGGAAAAGAGAGGAAAGAACAGTACAAGGCTCATTGAAAAGGTAACATACATATATTTATCGCAGTCCACAACCTCAGTCCCAATATTTACAGAAACCTAACCCTTGCGAACATGAAGTTGCTGCTTAATATTGAGGGTATTTAATGGCACTACATCAACTAACTAGTTTACTCAATGGAGCAGAATCCTTCTTGAGAAGCTGATAGTCCGTCAGCTGGACGAGGAATTCCCCACATTTTACAGAACCTGGAATTCATTACCGTGTTCACAAGAGCCCGCCACCAGTCGCTATCCTGAGCCAGATGAATCAAGTTCATGCCCTATTTTCCAAAATACATTTTTGTATTATCCTTCCATCTACTGTCATGTCAAATCATGTATTCCCTTCAACCTTTATCAACCAACATTTATCATCTGCTCCATGCATGCTACATACCCAACTCATTAACACTCATTAATACGGTCATCATAATTATATTTGATGAAGAGTTATGAAGCTCTTTATTATAAAGTCTTCTCCAGCCTCCCGTTGCCTCATCTGTCTTATATTCTCCTCGACACCCTGTCCTCAGACCCTCTCAGTCTGTGTTGTTCCCTTAATGTGACAGGTAAGGTGTGACACCCACACAACACGAGTGTGAATTAAAAATGTGTGATGCTTAGACTTGCGTGAAGGTACGCCAATCAACGAACACCAACTATGGGAGCCAGAACACCGACCAACACCTCACCCTCTGTTACCTCATGGTGTAAATACAAGGTTACCTCAGCAATCTGGACCCAAGACCAGCAGTGGCAGGTTCTTCTAGTCTATTTGCCAAGTTTTTCTTTTTGTTATTTCTGGTGTCGTGACTCTCCTCTATAATGATGTGTCGATCATATGGAGTGTCGTAGTCCACCTCAAGTATAGTTGAGAAACGATGAGGGTAGATGAGGTCTATAATTGCTATCACAAGACCTACAACTATGCACAGCGCACCTGAAAGCAAACAAAACAAAGAGTTGATCCAATTTCTCTAAATAAACTAAAATAGATCTCAATGACTGCTCATGCGACAAACACGTAACAAACAGAACAATTATTGGTTCGACTTCAGGTTCTCACGGTGGTGAGTATGGGTTGCCGCGCCGAGTAGTCTGGTAGAAGTTCACCGACGTTTCAGAGATGCTTGCTGCTTAATCATCATAACCCTGAATATGCATCTCTGAAACGTCGGTGAACTTCTACCAGACTACAATTCGCAGTCATCTGGTAAGACTAGCATCACCTGCTGTTATCACAAGCCAGAAGCACCACCCCAGCCTGAACATGAGGACACTCCCCTCAAACCGCACCACTAGTGGGTTCAGTGGGATGAGCATATAGTAAACCAGATCGGTACTGAGCAGCAGCGTCCCAGTCACCATCATGGCGTAGGCCCCGTAGCGGGGCACCACGACAAGTAGCAGGTTCATCAACAGCCACATGGCGAAGGCAGACCTGCAACACGAGACAGTGCGGATTAAACATGTCGGCCCCATTTGACGCCTATTCTGTGTGACGCTGTCTGCATTCCTTCACAGCAAACTTTGACTGGCAATGTTTCTGATGAGCGTGGCTAAGTACGAAATTCCCTGGGTTTCAAAGTTTGCCCAGGTATTCTGCAGAGTACCAAATTGTCGACCATGTGATCAACGCAGGATTAGGTTAGGTTAGGTTGAAACAAATTTGTGCCTGTTACTACCATTACATGTTCATTGCCCCGATGAGCCCTGAAGCTGGAGATGGTATGTTTCTCCGAAACGCTTGTAACCACTGACGAATTTACACGGCGCCAATAAAACCAGAACAACATAATCATCTTCGTTGTAGTTGTCCTACGTCGACAAAAGCAAAGAAACAAGGAAATGTCAACAAATTTTAGTAGAATTCTCCCATATCTGATTTCATGACCATCCGTTAAGCCGTTCTCGATTTGTTACGCAAACCCAAACTTTTAAATTGCGACATCCATTACAAATATCTTAAAATCATACATTACATTTAATATGAAATTCTGTTACAACATAGTGACAGGTAACAGCAAAGCGCTTGAGAAAGAATTACCCTGGGAACTCGGCCGATCACGTCAAAAGAAAGGAATGTATTTATCCAAAGAAAATATATCTCCGCCTCTTCAGTCATGATAATATTAAAATATGAACTTTGTGCTCACACTGTGATGAATTACGAGTCACAAGATCAGAGGTTATGTTCCCTTTATTTTAAATTTTTCTCCCTGCTCTAAAATTACAGATCTCCGACTGCCTCGCAACATTTCCACCCACTCACACACAACATAAGTACAAACAGAATAATCATCTACATACATTAACCAAAGCAGCAGCAAAAATGCCCGTGAGGTACAATTTTCATTTAATAGACAGTGTACGACGAGTAGGTGCAGTTTTATTGATATGCAGCAATTTCTCTGATAGGCAATTCAAGCATCAGGTGTCGCACACCCCGCGAAGATAATGTGAGCCTACCTTTAATTAGCATAAAGATAATAATACGAGGTGCGATCGGAAAGTTTCAAGACTGCGCGTATAAAAACCCGTACACTTATCTCAGGTATTAAATTCATCCATCACCCTCGAAGTAGTTCCCCTGGGA